GCTGCTGCTGCTGCTGCTGCTGCTGCAGTTCAGGGCAAATGCCTAGGGGTTTGCCAGGGCATTTCTGGCTGGTTGAAGCCCTTGTGGCCCTTCTGGTGTCTCGGCTGCTCCAGAAACAGCAAACAAGACTTGAGAGCAGCATTATTGATTTCTATGAAGGGGTGCTGCAGCAGCACTTCTGCTGTTGGCCGTTTGCTGCTGCTGCGCTGCAGGCAGCAGGCCAGGAAGTCCCTGCGCTCGCAGCACCCGCAGCTGCAGCAGCAGACTCTCCCTCCCAGCTCTTTACTACATTTTGTAGTTTTGTTTTGCTTTTATTACTTCAGTTACTTTGCTGCTGCTGCTGCTGCTACGGTGGCTGCTGCTACTTATGTTTTAACTGCTCATGCTGCTGCTCCTGCTGCTGCTACGGCAGCTGCTACTACTTCTGTTGTAACTGCGGCTGCTACTGCTGCTGCTCCTTCTGCTAAGGCGGCTGCTGCTTCTGCTACAACTACTGCTGCTGCTGCTGGTCCTGCTGCTCCTGCTAAGGCGGCTGCTGCTTCTTTGGTTGTAACTGTTGCTGCTGCTGCTTCTTCTGCTACGGCGGCTGCTACTTCTTCTGTTATACTTGCTGCTGCTGCTGCTGCTGCTGCTGCTGCTGCTGACTTGAAGTGTGGGGACATGCTGTTGAGCTTGTCTCGAATTTTGGGATTTGTTTTTGCTTCTGCTGCTACTTTGTCTGGCCAGGCCTTCGAAGTTATGTTGCGCATCACCTCTTCCTCCTGCACCATGCACTGCAGCAGCAGCAAACGCAGCAGCAGCAGCAGCGGCAGCAATAGCAGCAGAAGCAACAGCGCCGAAGGCAGAAATTGTAGCAGTAGCAGCAAAGAACGAAGAGAGGTTTCCAGATACCTGCTGCAGCGTCACTACCATCATTCGCAGCAGCAGCAGCAGCAACAGTAGCAGCAAAAGCAGCAGCAGCAGCAGTAGCAGCAAAAGCAGCAGCAGCCGCAGCAGCAACTGTTCAAACACCATCTACAACTCCCATAGCAGCAGCAGCACCAGCCCGCCATGAGTAACAGCAGCGGCAGCAGCAGCATGAGAAGCAGCAGTGTCAGCTTTAGCAGCAGCAGCATGAGAAGCAGCAGTGTCAACTTCAGCAGCAGCAGCGCATGCAGCAGCATCGATGTCAGCTACAGCTGGCACTGCTGCTGCTGCAGGCGAATGCTGCTGTCGCCTCGTTGGTGGTGCCGGATTGCTGCAGCAACTGCTGCTGCTGCTGAAGCTTCTGCAGGGCCTGCAGCAGCAGCAGCAACAGCAGCAGCAGCAACTGCACCTGGGAGCCAAAGGGCGGGGCCTTGAAGTACAACTCGAAGGCCAAAATCCCCAGCATCCAAATATCACTTTTTTCGTCAAAGCTGCTGCCGATGCCGCTGCTGGCGTTTCTGAGGGCCTCTGCTAGCTGCTGCTGCTGCTGCTGCAGTAGCAGCAACTGCTGCTTCTGCTGCTCAGTCGGAGGCTCCGAAGCCTGCTGCTGCTGCTGCTGCTGCTGCTGCAGCTGCCGCCGACGCTCAGCAGCCATGCAGCGCATCCGAGCCAGACACTGCTCAGGGGAAAAGTAATCTGGGCGCAGCAGCAGCAGCACTTCCAGCAGCAGCAGTGCAGCAGCAGCAGTGCAGCAGCAGCACTGCAGCAGCGGCACTGCAACAGCACCACCGTAGCAGGAGCTGCAGCAGCAGCTGCAGCAGCAGCTGCAGCAGTAGCGGCCTGCTGCATTTTTCAGTCCGGTCCCGCCACTGCGTGGCAGCCCTCAACCCAAACCCCCAACCCCAAACCCCAACCCCCAAACCCCAAACCCTAAACCCCAAACCCTAAACCCTAAACCCTACCGCAAGTTCCTCTGTTGATGGAAACCCCCCTCTTTCTGTGGGCGCCGCCAATGTGGGCCGATAAGCCAAAGTCCGCCAGCTTCAGCTGGCCGCGTTCGTTTACGAGAACATTTTCCTAAAAATAAATAAATGAATAAATAAATAAATAAATAAATAAATAAATAAATAAATAAATAAATAAATTGTAAAGGATGGGGCTGCAGCGAGCGCAAACTTGAAGCAGCAGAGTCCGCCGCGCAGCAGCCGTTCAAAAACTAGTGTTTAGGGTTTAGGGTTTAGGGTTTAGGGTTTGCGGGCAAATCCATTTCGCTGCAGCCGTTCGCCGACTAGAGATTAGTCTCTCGGGTCTAGGGTTTTGAGCTTGCGCATTTAGGGCTTAGGGTTTCGCAATTAGGGTTAAGGGTTTAGGGTTTAGGGTTTAGGGTTTAGGGTTTACGGGTTTGATGTCTAAGTGGGCAATGCGCTTGTCGTGGCAGGTGCGAATGGCCCAGGCGATTTGAAAAGCCATTCTGCAGCAAACGAAAAACAAATAAATATTTATTTAATTTATATTTATTTATTTATTTATTTATTTATTTACTATTTATTTATTTATTTATTTACTTCTTTTCTTATTTATTTCGTGCTGCTGCAATTTGAAGCCCATGAGCGACACTAGAAGCAGAGATAGCCGCGCCAGCCCGCAGCGCCAAACCCTAAACGCTAAACCCTAAACCCTAGACCCTAAACCCTAAACCCTAAACTCTAAACTCTTATTTGCAGACCCCAAGCCCAAGCGTTAGTCCCGACCACATAAGCTCCAAACTCTAAACCCCAGACACCAAAGCCTAGACCTTCAATGCCCAGCCCCAAGCTTTAAACCGTAAACCGTAAACCCTAAACCCTAAACCCTAAACCCTTACCTAGCCACCTCGACCTCGCTAAACCCTTGTTCAGTTTGATCCAGCAAAGTAAAAAGATCGCCTTGATGGCAATACTCCATCACTAAGAAGACAGTAGACGCGGTTTGAAACCAGCCGTACATGCTGCAGCAGCAGCAGCAGCAGCAACAACAGCAGCAGCAGCAGCAACAGCAGCAGCAGCAGCAGCAACTCAAGGGGAGGCTGTTCTTGGCTTTTCTCGCTTGGCATTTGATGGGGAGCAGCAGAGGTGTAGAAGACCAAGAGACTCAAGGGAAGCAGAGGCAGCAAGACACGCAGCATAGCAGCAGCAGCAGCAGCAGCAACAGCAGCAAGAGGAGCTGCAGCGGCGGCAGCAGCTCTGCAGCAGCAACGACAGCACGAGGGCGAGCGCAGCTGCACTGCCGCCATCGCCCACTCCAGGAGAAAGCGCCCAAGCAGCAGCAGCAGCAGCAGTGTCAGCAGCAGCAGCAACAACAGCAGCAGCAGCAGCAGCAGCAGCTGAGGCTTGCCAGCAAATGTGGGGGTGTTTGAGGTGCGCCTGCAGCTCCACTTCCTTCCGCAGCAGCGCCTCGTTGCCGCCCCTGCAGCGCAGGCCCGAAGGCAGCGCAGCAGCAAATAATAATTAATTTAAAATAAATAATATTTAATTAAAAATAAATAATAAATAATAATAATTGAAATGAATAAATGTTCAATGGTGCGCAATCAGGGCAAATGGAGAGACAAAGAGACAGGCAACAACAGCTTCAGAGGCGGCGTGCTGCCAAGCCGCAGCAGCAGCAGCAGCAGCAGTAGCGGCAGCAGCAGCAGCAGCAGCGGCAGCAGCAACAGCAGCAGCAGCAGCGACAGCAGCAGCAGCAGCAGTTGCAGCAGCACCTGATCAGGTGGGCCTTTGTGATGCACTTCAAGACACAAATGAATCCGCTGCGCCGCTCGCGAGCCAAGAATACGCTCCCCTGAGCCCCGTCGCCCTGCAGCAGCAGCAACAGCAGCAGCAGCAGCGGCAGCAGCAGCGGCAGCAGCAGCAGCAGCGGCAGCAGCAGCAGCGAGAGGGCACAGCTGTATGAACTTCGCGGGACACCAGTGGCCACAGAAGCAGCACCGGTCCTCACACAACCAAAACCAACGGCAGCTGCAGCAGGTTCAGCAGCAGCAGCAGCAGCAATGGCATCGCCAGCAGCAGCAGCAGCAGCAGCAGCAGCAGCAGCTTGTCGCACTAGATAACCTCCAATGTCGAAGTCCCTTAGGGAAAAGCGGTAGGCGTGGAGGCCACACTGCAGCGACACATCTTCTTCAATGGCTGAGGGCTGCGCCTGCTCGCTGCTGTCTCGCCTTCTGCTGCTGCTGCTGCTGCTGCAGGCGGTGCTGCTGCTGTAGGCGCTGCTGCTGCTGCAGGCGGCGCTGCTGTTGCAGCAAGCTATGTTCTCCTTCGAGCTCGCCTTGTGGCTGCAGCAGTTGCTGCTGCTGCTGCTAGGGGCCCCCGATTTTTCTGCTGCTGTTGTGTCCTTCTGCAGGCTGCTCGCACACATTTGGTGCTGCTGCTTCTGCTGCAGCAGCTGTTGCTGCTGCAGCTTATGCAGCGGCTGCTGCTGCAGCAGCTGTGGCTGCTGCTGAGTGGAGTTGGAGCCAGCCGACCCCAGCCCCGGCATTGCTTCTTTGGGATCCGGGAAATGCTGCTGTCTTCTGCTCGCTGCTGCTGCAGATGCTGCTGCCGCTGCTGCTGCTGATGCTCGTGCTGCACCGCGGGCTACAGGAAGCTGCAGTTGCTGCTGCTGTTGCTGCTGCTGCTGTTGCTGCCGCTGCTGCTTGAAGTGCTGCTTGCGCTACCTAGCGATGGTGCTGCTGCTGCGCCTTTGCGGGCGGGCGAGCCTATTTAGCTGCAGCAGCAGCAGCAAGACCGAAGCAGCTGCTGTCGTGCTGCTGCAGCGCAGCAGCAAGGAAGCCTGTACACTGTGGGGCCGCTGCTGCTGCTGCGCTGGCCTTGGGGGAGCCTGGGGAGAGTTGGGTGGAAGCGGAGAGGTGGAGGCGCCGCTGCTGCAGCTGTCGTTGTTGTTGTTGCTGCTGCTGCTGCTCCATTTGAATTTCAGTAAAAAATCCAGAAGAAGACAGGCAGGGGCACGGAGCAGCAAATTGCCAGTTCCCTCTTTCGGGAGGTGTTGATGAGGGTCGGTGGCGGTGGCTTTGCTGCTGCTGCTGCTGCTGCTGCTGTTGCTGCTGCTCAGTCAATGAGCGCCTGCCTCTATTTCACTGCTTTAATTTCCGTTTTAATCTAATAATTAGACGGCTCTGCTGCAGCTGTTTCCATTAGCATGCGGCGCGATTTGAGTAGAAGCTTCATGCAGCAGACAATCCTTTCAGCAGCAGCAGCAGCAGCAGCAGCAGCAGCAGCAGCAGTAGGATGGCGGGTGACCTGCAGCAGCAACCCTGCGATGCTCCTGTCAATGAGACCTAAATTTGGAGCCAAACTTTTGCACACTAACAAATTCTAAAGAGTTCCTGCTGCTGCTTCGCTGCAACGGAGCAGTTGCAGCAAGATCTGCCTTTGAGGTCCAGCGGCTGCTGCTGCTGCTGCTGCTGCTGCTGCGGCTCTTTCTCGCTGCTGCTACCGCCGCGGAGGCACACAGTTGAGTCCCTAGCAGTTTAACTTCTGCCAGTGGGCATAATGTATCTGCTGCTGCACTTGCTGCAGCAAAACAGCAACTGCGGCGACCGCCGCAGCAGCAGCAGCAGACGACAGGTCAACTCAAGTGGCTTACGCTAGTGCTGCAGCGACGACACACGCTGCTGCTGCGTTTGCTGCTGCTTCTGCTGCTGCTTCTCCAGTTATTTCACCTGCTGCTGCTGCTGCTGCTCATGCAGCATGGCCATTTCGGGGTTAGGGCCCCAGTCGCCCGAGCAGCAGCTGCTGAGGCCTGTTGCTGCTGCTCCTGAGGAAGTTGTTGCAGCAGCTCCTCTAGATGCAGTCAATGGCGCTGCTGCAGCAGCTCCAGAAGAGCCGCCCGCAGCAGCAGCAGCAGCAGACAGCAACGGCGTTGTTCCCGCGGAAGAACCAGGAGCAGCAGCAGCAGCAGCAGGCTCAAAGGATGCAGCTGCTGCTCCGCCGGCAGCACCTGCTGCAGCAGACGCACTAGCAGCACATCTTCATGAACCGGATGACAGCGAGCTTCCCTCCCCAGCAGCAGCAGCAGCGGCAGCAGCAGCAGCAGACGGAACCCGAAGCAACAAAAGGGGCTTCTACCGTTGCTGCAGAACAGCAGAAAGGGAACCAGCATTTTGCTGCCCTTGTCATGCCCTTTCTTCGTGCTGCTGCCTGAGGCGCCGGCGCGGCCGGCAGCAGCAGCTGCTGCCGAAGCAGCAGCAGCACCAGCAGCAGCAGCGAAGGCGTGGTGAGCCCCCGGGCTTCTTTCGCCCCGATGATGGCAGCAGCAACAGCAGCAGGAGCTTTCAAGAAGATGTATTGGGCTCTGGGGCGGCTTCGGAAGCAGCAGAAGTAGATGCAGCGGAGCTGCTTGCTGCAGCAGATCCAGCAGCAGCGGCTGCGAAAGCAGCAGCAGCAGAATCTGCTGCTGCTGCTGCGCTGCAGCTGGGGTGGTCCCTCCCGCCCCTGGGACTCCATGTGGTGTCTGCTGTTTCTTATGGGGGGCTTCTGTCTCGCCCCACAGATATAATAGTAATTGAAATCGCACATGCTGCTCCTGCTGCTGCTGCTGCTGCTGCTGCTGCTGATGATGATGATGATGCCCGCAATGGGCTGCCTTGGCGGCAGCACTCCGCGCCGGTGCCTGCTACGGTGTCGGAGGACGGCTTCTGCTGCAGCCCTCAGCAGCAGCAGCAGCAGCAGCAGCAGCAAGAGTGGCAGTGCGTGTGCTGCTTCTACGCGTACATGGAGCGGCAGCAGTACAGCGAGCTGCAGCGGCGGGTGCAGCGGCTGTACCCTAGGGGGCCCCCCTTGAGAGACAAAGGGGGGCCCCCCAGTCGCTGGAGTCGTTTGGAGTCTCGCTTGAGTACTTTGAAGCCTTCGCGGCTTCCTGCTGCTGCTGCTGCTGCTGCTGCT